AAACCTGCCCCAGCGCCACTTTGTCCATAGTCCGGCATGTATCTCATGTAGTAGCAAGTAAACGTATTAATGTATGAGCTGACGCAGTGTGGCGATTTCAGTCAGTTAACAGTTGCCTGAGGATGGTCTTGTAGGGCCGAAACATGTTCTAACAATTTAAATGTGATTTTAATGATATTTTAAGTATGATTGTAAATTACATTTTAAAATGAAAGTCATGTTGCATTAGAGACAGAAGCAAGTGACCATATCACATATCTTGTTTAACTAAACATCATCATATATACATTTTTGTTTTCAGATGCACATGAGTTACTGGTTTGGAACTGCTGTTGGTGATTTGCTGTTCAAGGGGTTCACCATTACCTCAACATCAGGTAGACATACTGACAGGTGTCATCATTTCCTTAAGACTGTTATGATGATAACCACTAAGAATGTGAGGTTTCGTGCTTGGAATGGTGTGAATATAAGAAAGGTGATGAATGCTGCCTTCTTGGATGTGATACCATGTGGTCGAATTGTAAGCAGATATTACTGACATTTTGGAGAAAAAAGTTGCCTTTATTTTCAAAATACTGTCACGTATTGGGTATGTCACGCGACGAATAAATTCACGTGGGTCTCGGATTCAGCGAATCTTTATTGAATATTCACTCCTACACTCTTTACAATCGTTATCAGCTGTAGTATCAATTGGCTTCTGCCTAGATGCTTGACTCTTGGTTCTCTAACAATAATAATATAGTACATGTCTTAAGCTCTGCTTATATAGGGGTAATGCGGACTCAATCGAGGACACCTCTCGCCAAAGTTCGATTCTGCGTGTTCGGCAATCCGTTGCTTCGGGAATGATCTCTATCGATTATGGCTGTAACGTGTTTCGTCTCATCCGTTGGTACCCAACGGCCTTCTGTTGTTCATCTCCGGGGGAAATGCGTTCATTGCTTCTGCACTTCTTATGCAATGGCCCATTGTTATTGCGTTTCCATGGAGGTATCTACTCCAGACATGTTACAGTACAGTAATACATTGAGCAAGTTGGGTTAAGATAGTATGGATGCAAGGAGGGTGAGTATCAGAGTGGAGACCTTGAGCAGACATAAAGCAGTAAAGAGAACAGGGACAGAAAATGACACCCTTAACAGGTTCTCTTTCCAAGGGTAAGAAAGGTGCATGAGGGTCTGTGGTCATGTAGGTAACTAAGGAGTGAATCAATATAATGTCGCACTAAATGTCATGGTCAAGTGAGCAGCTCTCCTGCCTCGTATTTGGGAGTTCCCAGGGTCAAAAACCATGGCCCCAAGACTGGTGTCTTTGTGGTTTTCTTCAGTCAATCTATGAAAATACTGAGGTGATACATAGTGTAGGTATAGTATGGAAAGAATGGGTTACATTGCATGAGGCAAAAAATTGTGAAAATGGAAACTTAATTTTTGTGTGGAAAATGAAACAATATTCTTAGCAAGTGAAGTAGCTTTTTGTTAAATCAGAAACCCAGAACAATGAAGGAAGTAGAATTTATTAATAACAGAAAGTTACTAATAATCTTTCATGTTCAGTGGTATGATGTTACTATTTGCATGTCCAGATGAGAGGTAAAAATGATGCAAGGCAGTGGTCTTCAGCTTACTGGTTGTGACACCTGTAGCACAGTGTGACATGTTTGAGTTTGCACTGCCTATGACAACATGAAGCAATTTTACTTTAAAATTTTTCTACAGATTCTCTGGCTCTTCCAGATCCAATCTAAGTCTTGGGATGGGGTATTATGGACTGGATTGATCTGTCTCAGGTTAGGGAGGACTCTTATGAACATAGTAATGAACCTTCAGGTTCTATAGAATGTGGGGGCATTCTTGAGTAGCTGCACAACCAGCAACTTCTCAAGAAGGGCTCAGGCCCATAAAGTTAGTTTAGTTGGGATAGATGTTCAGTATCTTGTCAGAGTATATCTGCATATCCGTCTTATGTCATTAATAACGTAAGCCGTCTTTCTTTGATGTCACACCATGTCATGTCATAAGAAGTCCTTAACCATCTTAGTCTTCTATAATTACTCATCCTTGGATCCAGTATCCAGAAAACTGCAGAGGACTAGAAATCCAACTTTTCTTATTTGGCATGTTGGCAGCAATGACAGTAATTTGCTCGCTCTCTGCTTTGATTGAATGGTGGCTGGCATGTGTACACTTGTTTTTCCATGATTATTGTGATTATTTACTTCCATTGTTATGCCACAGACATGTTGAAATGGCCAGTAAGAAGTCCAGTGGCTAGTGGGAAGAATGCATTTCATCCTAAGTATAAATAAGAAAGTGGAATTAGAGAAAGGTGGAGAAAGGTGCTTATGTGAAAGGATTAAGTGCAGATTTCAGAATAGGTACATCTGCCATCTGTGGCCTGGAACCAGAAATCTAGCTCAGCCTGGATAAGAAGTCCAGTAGCCTACTGTGTACTGCTAATACCAACATGGAAACCAGATGAACATCTACCATGGTGGTGACACTAGCTCTATCGAGTGTGCAGTTATCTAATGTTACGCATTGAAGATCTCTGAAAACATACAAATTTGTTAAAAGTAATTTTTATGTATACAGCAAAATAACATGGTGAATTGTGTGTTTATTCTTCCAATTTGTAATTATAACAGAAGACTAATGACTAGCTAGAAATGTTAAACTTAATATATTGATAGAAATATGTGGATTTTTAGTGAAATATTTGTGTTAAAACAACAATCATGGTGATGGGAAGTGCAATGGCTATGTTTGGAAATCTGTAAGTAAAGAACATGTATACAAACAGAAATTATAAACAAAGTTTTGTAATTGTTCAGATATATTTATGGAAGCATTTAGAGGAACAGAGCTGCTCCATGTATTCTGTTGCCTTGTTCCAGCACTAGTAATGACATGCTTTGGATTGGCATCTCTTGCGATACTGTTTGAAGCCATCAAGGTATATCAAGCACATGTGAAATACAGCACAGTACTGGGAGAAGAGCATTGCCACTCTACCAGGTGTACAAGTGAGATATCTCCACTCCTGGGTAATTACAGGACTGATGACAGGAACAGTCACATATCTCATTCACACAAGTATGTATCATTTGGATGTAACTTAGATTAAATCAGGTAGTAGTTTTGAAGTTGAAGTCACATTTCTGAGATTTCTCTGTATGAATATGAATATGATACATGATACAAACTCCGTCTTCAGTGCAAACCATATATTATAGGTCTTTCATTTTGCTCTCCGTTACACACTACATGTTTCAGCCACGAACGGCCATCATCAGGTGTATTACTCACATATCTGTCACACTGCACTTACTTTAACTTTTAAAATTTAAAAACACAGGTCTTCCTGATTGTTCCTTTCGTCGTTATTACCAAAATCTACTTCGTTTGATGTCTTTGTTATTTACACACGTCAATTTTGATTTTGGTAATGACGAAAGGAACAATCAGGAAGACCTGTGTTTTTAAATTTTATATGTTAAACTAAGTGCAGTATGACAGATACGTGAGTAATACACCTGATGNCTTTAACTTTTAAAATTTAAAAACACAGGTCTTCCTGATTGTTCCTTTCGTCGTTATTACCAAAATCTACTTCGTTTGATGTCTTTGTTATTTACACACGTCAATTTTGATTTTGGTAATGACGAAAGGAACAATCAGGAAGACCTGTGTTTTTAAATTTTATATGTTAAACTAAGTGCAGTATGACAGATACGTGAGTAATACACCTGATGATGGCCGTTTGTGGCCGAAACATGTAGTGTGTAGGGGAGAGCAAAACAAAAGACCTATAATATATGGTTTGCACTGAAGACGGAGTTTGTATCATGTATCGTATGGAGTGCAACAGGATGCTTGAATATAATATTGAATATGAATATGACCGACTGACCAAAAAAATAATAAGTGAGAATAACTGAATTCTCTGAGTCTTACATATTAATGGTGTAATGGACAGTAGGTAGGATGGAGTAGAATGTGGTAAGGACGAATTTGACTAAATTACTGTACATGTAAATTAAATAATTCTAAAGGTTTTTGGCAGTAGTCTGGCATTATCAACATACTTGCATCAAGTCAATTTAGAAAGAAATATAAGTGGATTTCAATCCAGTTTTCTAAATGGACATAAAAATGGAGAATTATACATGGTGTTTGTGTAGTGCTGGTAATAGGGTATGGATAGAAGGGTCAGACTGTGAACCCTGCTGTTATTATTATACTTTTTGTATGGCAAGTGTCCTTTACAGAAGGAACAGTGAGAATTTCAACATTATTTATATGTTTGGCTGTCAGACTGAATAATGAAAGGCATTGAATAACTCTGAGGGGAGTTAGATATTGCACATTTTGTAAGGGTCACATGAAAAAACAAGATTTGGCAGGTGTTTCACACAAAGACTATGTTACTTTCAGGCTCTTCGTTCTCTTGCGTGAGACTGGTTGGTATGTTGTACAGGATGTGCTGTCTTACGTGCTTATGTTGTGTGTTATGACATACAATGGATATTTTACAACAGCAGTATCTCTTGGTGCTGGAGTTGGCTATTTGGTGTTTGGCCCAGTTTTGATTGAAATTGGCATAAAGAATGGTGGAATGCTTCGGCCAAAAAGAGTCTGTCGAGTATGTGTGGGTAAGTTTCATCCTTTTAAAGTCTCGTGTCTTGTATTGTGGTCCTTAAAGCTGTCAGCTAAAATAATTATGTACTGAGGTATGGGTTATCCTGATTTAAATAAACGTGAAGTATATGACAAAAACTGGAACTGAGTTAGGAAACTGTGGATAGTAACATTATTTTAGATAATGAATTGTTTTTTAAGAAGCAGTTCCTGTTTTCTCATCAGTGTGTTCAGTATTTAGAGTACAGTTTTAATTTTTAGAAGCAGCACGTGCCACAGAAGGCATACAACAAGAAGATAGCACATTACCCGATGTTAGACAAGAAGATTCGATTGTACCTGAAAGTGACCAAGGCCACTGTCAAGAATCTGTTGCTGTGGTACATAGAGCTGATATGTAACGGCTGTCTGTCCACATTCTCTATCAGTTTATGCTGTATATAACTCAGAACAGGTAATAAAATATGTGTTAAGTTTCTAAGCAGAGTGTTCAACAAGGAAGGTGCTGTCTCATCTACCATGATGTCTGTGATTTACTGAGATAAGATGTTTCAGAATACACTGAAGAGACTGGTTTCTTAAGGAATGATATACAAAATATTGGGTCTAAAAGAGTATGTTTCTAGTAGAGCTGAATATTATTTCCATTCTGATGTGTGTGTTTTACAGCAATAATTCATGGTCTTATATATGTAAGGCATGAAGTGTAGTAAATACAATTCCTTGTTGAGGTATATTTTTTTAAAATTTCCATTTACTGTTTGGAAATGTTATACTGTTCTACACATTATTGATATTTTATAATTAAGGTGTATTTTATGTGATTTTATAAAAATGGACATAGATCTGATATGTTGCTGATGATGGGTCTTGTGATATATTAAACAATGTAATTTATTTCTGAACTGTTGTGTTCAGAATATGCAAGGCTGCTGCTTGCTTATAAATGATTGCAATGGGAATAACCAGATATAATTTAATATTACTAGATTTGGTATTTGAATGCACCTTATTCTGAGATGAAGTGCATTGTAATGGAAGTATAAGCTATTAATCACGGTTACTTCTGAATTTTATTTTTCTTCGTGTTGCAAGCTGTCCCTTAAAGAAAAAACCAAAGAAGCTAATCCAAACCAAATGTCACATGTGAATGATCTAAAATTGTATAGGTAAACCAAACCAAACTAAACCAAACCTTGCATTAACGTTTCCAAATGAGGTCATTGTGCTTATTGCTTTATCACTTAGTCTCTGCGCATTCTGAGCTGCTGTAGATATCAGATTACTTTAAGAGTTTGGAGAGAGACATTGAGGAATCATTGCTCCTTCCAAATTTTGATTCTCTGTATTATGTTCCACTGTTGTATTAGCATTCTGTCACTGAAAGTTATGGCTTGCTGGCATTGCTGAACAACATCTGTTACTCCAATTATACTATTACTGACACTAACTAAAGCCTCATTTGTGAAGGCAGTAACTTTCTACATTTCTGTCATGATTTCAGTATATACAATTTATTTTTCAGATTGCAGTGTTGTGGGTTGTGACACCATGTAGTCTTGTGGGTGGATACTGATGTTTCAGAGGAACATGTAGCTTCCATCACTAGGACTAAAGTACGTAGGGTGAGGAAATGGCTCAGTTGTATAGGCGAGCTACAAGGAAAGTGATTGCCCAGACCAGGAGGGAAATGGAATTCTGTTCTGTAACAAGAAACATAAGGCTTCCCCTGAAACTGGTAATTTTCTTCCCCGTTGATCCCACAGATTCTGACTGGGCTGCAGTTTTTTTACCTTCATCCTACCCAGTTAAACACTAAAGACGGAGACAGCATGTTTTTCTGAAATGTCGATATCCACCTACAAAACAGCATGGTATCACAGCTTGAAAGATCACAGTCTTCAATAGTTGCCACTGTGTACAGTGTTAGTTGCCATTTTAGGTGTTGTGGATGCACCAGGATTGATAAAATTTGACCCAGGATTTTTTCTTCAAATATCTTACGATTGATGCAGCAAAATAACTTTAGCCATTCTTTAAGCTACTCGTGCTCTTTCTGAACTTCAAGTATGATGTTGATACTAACAGCATGTAATGAAGTTTTCTTGATGATTCATACACCAATTCTCTTGCATCCTGTATAAGCTTAGCCTGTGTGTTGTTACATTGATTGCAGATGCTGGTCTTACTTTGCACATTTTCATGTTCAGTGGCTTGTAGCGTTCAACCCCCAGAGACTTGACAAGATTTTCATGCCCTCTCATACTTTGTTTATAGAGAAATTTAATACTGATATATCATTTCACTGTGCTAGAAATACATGCAGATGTCATCTTCTTCCTCCCTTACATGGGTGGCGAAGCTCTGGTCAGATTTGAACTCCTTCTCCACCATGTGTTAGTGCCTATTAGCATAGTGTCTGTATGCATTCACATTTCTTTTCTGAATGTAGAGATTCAAATTAAATTTGGTAATGAGAGACCTGACTTAAATTTATTGGAACAGATTCAGTTTTACTGGGAGGGTTTACAGGAACGTTTACAGATGTGTCTTTAATAAGATGAATATTCTTAGTTACTTTAGTTTTCTTCATATGCGCTTTTACTTTTTAGGTTATGACTGTCAGGTGCATACATGTTCATGAAATTGTAAGAATTAATTTGGTTATTGCTGTTTCCTCACAACATAATAATTGTTAAATGTAAACATTGACTAAATACACATTGATAAGTGTAAAGATATGTTATTCTTCCCAGGTTGCTTTTAGTGTGTTAAGTGCATATATGTAACCTCTGGTGCCTTCAATCTATAAAATTAATTAATGTGGAGTACATAATGTGTTATATGCAGTTTCAGATATACGAAGGTTGTTTAATAGGCAAAGTTCCCCATGTCATACAAATTGAATGAGAAATCGTTACAAGGTTAAATGTCACTCATTTATTCCACTGTACTATCGTCGTCGTTCAAGAAAGTCCCTGAGCACATGAATGCATTTTTCTATCTTTTCAAGAGGTCGAAAGGTTTGCTTTAGTGGGGTTTCTCTCTATTTGTGAATTTTTTATTTTCTTCACATGTAACTATTGTTATATCTTGTAGTAATTACAAATTATATTTCATCAAGAAATTGTTTTGTTTTATTTTCTTTGTACTCCCCAATTCTTAATAGTGCAATTCCCAGCCATACTTACTTACTTACTCATGGAGCTGAGCCCTTCTGGAGGAGGTTCCAATTCTACAGCTACTCAAGAATTTCCCAGAATTTTATGGAACCCAAAGGTTCATTACCGTGTTCACAAGAGCCCTCCACTGGTCCCTATCCTGAGCCAGATCAACCATCCCATCCTATCTCTCTAAGATCCATTTTAATATTGTCCACCCACCTACTCCTTGGTCTTCCCTTCTGGCTTTCCCACCAATATCCTATTCACATTCCTCGTCTCCCCCATTCATGCCACATGCCCTGCCCACCTCATCCCCCTTGACTTGATCATTCTAATTATACTTGGAGAAGAGTACGAGTACAAGTTATGAAGCTCCTCATTATGCAGTTTTCTCCAACCTCCTGTCAGTTCATCTCTCTTTGGTCCAAATATTCTCCTCAACAGCCTGTTCTCAAACACCCTCAGTCTATGTTCCTCCCTTAATGTCAGAGACCAAGTTTCACACCAATACAGAACCACAGCCAAAATTAAAGTTTTGTATATTCTAATTTTTATGTTCTTGGACAGCAGAGAAGACAAAAGGTTCTGGACTGAATGGTAGCAAGCATTACCCGAGTTCAATCTCCTCTTAATTTCCTCCTGAATCAGGTTTCTATCTGTTATTGTTCCCAAATATCTGAATTGTGTCACATTTTCAAAACATCTGTTTCCTATCTTAATATCATGATTTTGCCCTGCATTTTGGTTATATACTTAGTTTTCTCAGTGTTTACTTCTAGACCAGCCTCTTTACTTGNATATATATATATATATAATATTCAGTGTGTTATTGCATTTTGCTTTTTATTGCATATTGATATTGTTTGTGACACTGGGTGCAAATTGTATAGGATTCAATTACATAATGATCAGAAGACAGGGATGGACAAACATTTCTGTGAGCCATATTAGAGACTATAGTATACATGGTAAATACAGAAAGGAGGACTGTTGCACATTTAAAAATTTCTTAAAATTATGAATGTGATATTTCAGTCTGTTACTTCTGTCACACGTTAATCTCTGTTGTGATCTCGCTGTGGACAGGGTCCAGACTGATGTGAGCATGGTTCTGAATCTTCATGTTCTATACGTATAAGGTGAGGAATTCCTTGGTTAGTTGATGATATCAGCTTCTCAGGGATTCTAGTCCATGGAAACCATGTCATCAGGAAACCACTGTTAGGGTAATTTCTTATACAGTTAGCTTGTAATGCTTTTTAAGTTTAACTAAGGCTTTATTGACCTCCAAGGGAACAGTAAACCAAAATTAAATATCAGAGAGAGATCACAACCGTCCCCTGGGTCCCCCTTGATCGCTCCTTGAGGTCATCCCAGGATTTTTAGGAAAACAAGGAAACAACAACAGCAGTGGCACAATTAAAATAGATTTCAATAGGCATGTAATACATAGACGGCAATAATAATACCAAGTCAAGAGGGGCAGTGATACAAACACACAGAATGTGCCCTAATATTTTTGTAACCTTTCCAGTGGCTTTCATGTGGTTTTAAATGCTGTAACAAATTGCAGAAGGTAAAGCTGAAGGAGAAAAAAAAAGCAATACATCTTACACAACTACAGATAAATAATATACCAAGAGGTAAGGGTAGAGGAGTATAATAAAACAAACCTGGAGGAATGATCAGAGGTGAATAAGGCCAAAACAAAAATTTGGGGTAGTATTGAGACCCAATATGGTCAAGAACTTTCTCTTCTCCATGTCATCCAAACTGACTCTGGGGCCCACCCAGCCTCATATACAATGGGCACAGGAGACTTTCCCAATGGATAAAGCTGCTGGGGTGTGAAGCTGAGCACACCTCCAATTAGTGCCAAGGTTCAAGAAAATATGGATTTAAACATCCATTCCTCCATATGCTGTCATGACATAGTGCTTAATTGGTTAAGTACAGGGACAAATTTACCTTTTTTTTTTTTAACACCTCATGGTCTCTGACCACCATTCCCCATCTGTATGCATCTAGGGGTCTTTCTCTGTGGGTAGAGCAACAAACAGCTCAAGATCTGAACCCTGATTGCCAGCCAAAAATGTATATAATGTGTTATCTGTGTGTCAGATAACACCTACCTATGTAGATAATAGCTGGTGATGGAACAGTAGGGGATAGGAGAAACGGTGTATGGAAAGGCAGTAAGGTGTTTTGAAATACACAGTACATTGAATTTGGCACAGCTGAGTGATACCAACTTCTTGAGGATTCTGGTCCATTGAATTGGCTATTGAGTCATATGCATTGTGGTTCTTCTGTTATAGACTGAATGTTTCATGTTTCTATATAGAAATACAGTACAGGGGTGGACTGAGTTCACTGTTGATAATGCCAGTTTGGATGGGAGCAATAAAATAGGAATTATATTTGTGTGACATGTAGGATAGACACTCAGCATAAAGGTGGATTAGTTCATTTGAAGTGCATGCACACCAGTGACTATGTAGAATATTATGTTCTGGGATGTCATGCTGTGTAGTCCAGTAGGGGTTCACTAATGTTGGAGGTGCATACTGCCTGTCTTGCTGTGCATGTCATTTGCTCTTTGTTTGGCTAACTTGACCCTGAAAATTAAGGCAGTATGCACCACCGAAACATCAATGAACTTCAATCAGACTCCACAGTGTTGCATCCCAGAAGACAGCGTTCTTAATGGGAAAATTCCTTTGCAAATATGAGAATTCCGAAGTTATTCGTTCGAGGAATGCAGAATAGAGTTGTTCCACTAGTAGGTAACTTTGTTGTCGATTAAGATTCGGTTGTCGATTTAATATTAGCCGCACTTGACAGGGAGATGGCAGCACGGTCAACGCATGCAGTGCATTTCAAGCTTGGTATTTACTTCCGTATCCGTAGGTAGCTAGGTAGTGATGTAGGTGATGGTTATGTCTCCCGTGGTAATTTGTATTAGTCGTGTAGGTCGTGTACATAATCCGTGGCAGTTTGTTATTTGCTATGCTTTGTATCTGCTGTACACGTGGATTTAAATGGTTGAAACAGATGGGAGCAATTGAGTATTTGTGCATTCGTAACTAGAAGTGTAATTTTGTGACAGAAATGTATTTGGGTTGTTGGGAGTTTAAAGGTACAAGATTAGTTTTGTGGTATCCGTAATTCACGTGCTTATATAAAACTATCAGGAAGATCAGAGATGTTATAGTTAAAAGCCACAGAAAGAGGTTACGTTTTGAAGAAGTGTGTTAGATTTATACATTTGTATTAAAAGATTTCGTTCAAATGGATAGTTTAGTGGATGGACGAGTGAATTTAGACACATGACATATTTATGTTGGTAATTTTATTCAGTATGTAAATTGTAAGTTGTCAGATCTCAGAATTTAATGAAGTTGCAGAAATAAATTTAAAGTTAAGGAGTTGATCATGTATTTATATTTTTTCGAAGTATCCGAAGAATCTGGTATAGACACGTGAAACTTTTAAAAAATTTAATGTGGAAATTTTAACATGCTGTGGTTTTTTATTTCATTTGTATTATTAAGAGATTTGAAAGCACTACGGAAACTTGAAGTTGATTCATCGCATGTGGCAGGTTGGTTTATCACTAACTGATGTTTGATCCACGTTATTCTCAGTGATACTGATTGTAGTTTTCTATAGTTTCTTCAGGTAAAAGGTAAGCTATTGTGATACAAAGTGTGACATTTCCTCTTCCATCCCTCAGGGCTTGTTGTGCATAACCATATAATTCAGTGCAGTTAATACATCAGTTTTAAGTAATCTGTGAATCATGAAACTATCTGAATTATGGCTGAAAGTTCATGACAGTATTGTTACACAATTGAAGAGAACCAGTCTGTTTTGCATAAGCACAGTGTATGATATAACATTACATATTGGATGAGATGTTATGGATACTAGTATATTACTTTTGGATAACAGACCAAATTGTGTCACACACCAAGCATATGCCTCTTTTGTGTAAAATTTAATATATTATAAGTGTAAATATAATATTGATGTATAAATTCATATACCAGTGCTTGAAGAACCCAAGTGTGCTAATTGACATCAGCTCCAAGAATTTAATGCTCTTTACTGTGGGTATTTCAAGTTTTCATTACACATATGTTGACATTGTATGGTTGGTAGATGAAAAGTTACCTCATTTAAACACTTCTGTGTGTTCTTTTATACATTCTTTGTACAAAGTGAATAATTGGGAGGTGATGTCCACTGATATGTTTCCATCACCAAAACTGTGTGACTTGAGATTTGAGGGTTTTGTTGTTGTGAAGATTCATAACTTGTTCATCCAAATTATGAAACATCAAGTATACATATTGTTGTGTGTTGGCTGTATGTGACACGACAAATAACTTCACCCCGTTCTTGGATCTACGAAATTTATTGCACACTTTTATCCACACTTACATAACTCACAACTTCAGTATCCCAATTACTTCTCCTGCTGTAGTCACTTCCAGGCTTCAACTGTCTTGATTCCATTCACTCGATACAACTCAACAACTGTCTCGTCTGGTGCATTAAAGCCCCTTACATAGGCTTCTCGCGGAGCGCACAGAAAACAGCATGGACTCCACTGTTGCATGATGTCACATCCTATCGGGAGGGGTGTTTACCAAATGTTGCGTAGTTACGTGATGAATGGGGATATGTGATGTCACTCACACTTTCTGTTGCGTTATCCAAGTGTTCACAGAGTTGTCACCTAGCAATGCGCCAATACAATCTGCAACTCTCACATGGTACGCATACCCCAAGGCCTCTGTGGCTCAACAGTTCCTGCATAGAGCAAATATGCCACAATATATATATGTTATTGAAAATTGTTCCTTTTGCACTGTATGCAAATCCCCTGTCAGTATGGTCTTTGCAAAGCAGATTGTTCCTATCCTACATATCTTATGCTATGATGGCAGCTTAGTCACTTGAACAGTCGTAAGCTTGACCACTGCCATGTTTAAACCTCTTATACTGGGTGTTTCACGACTTTAGGGCATAACTGCAGGAGGTGATTTCCTAGGTCTTTGTGATCAAAAAGTTCATATAAACATGTGTCCGATTTCAGACGGTTACAGAGTTATGACCGTTTTAAACTCAGAATAGAAGGTAACGATTACTGACAATAAACAGAACAAAATAATAAACCAGCATAATACATAATACATTTAAAGTATGAATTTAAAGTTAACTTCGTGAAATTACCTTTAATTTGAATTTATTGGTGCTTAAAGCTGATTTTCGAAAATGCCACCGCTGGCCGCAACACAGGCTGCCACTCAGTTGTGAACCGCGCTGGACATACCAACCCACCCCACCTTAGGTACCTTTCAAGTGTTGAGATATCGAGAATGCTCTGTCTAGCTGGCTAAAAATAGCGACCCACCAGCTGACAGACGCGGTTCACATGAGGGCGTGTATGGGAATGAAAAAACGGTCATAACTCTGTAACCGTCCAAAATCAGACACATGTTTATATGAACTTTTTTGATCACAAAGACCTAAGAAATCACCTCCTGCAGTTATGCCCTAAAGTCGTGAAACACCTTGTATTTTCTGACTTAAATGTCAAAGTCAAAGTCACATTGCAACTGAGGGTCAGTCAGTCAGTCAGTCAGTAAGTCTTGGTGTCGAGCCCCAAATAGGGCCCATGACCAGATATTTATTACTGTTTGACAGTTGCAGTCTTATATTTTTTGTGGGGCACCCACTCTGGCTAGAGAATGGGTATGTTATTTCTGCATGCTCCTGGCTCTTACCAGGGCATCCTTTCTTGGGTCCGAGTCTCTTGGTACTCGCAACCATATTTTACTCTCTCAGATTTGAGACTTCCCTTTTTGTTGCCTCCTATGCTTTGCAGGGTCACGGTGGAAGTATTTGACCCCGCCTCCACATGGGTTAGCTATATCTGACTTAAATTCAATTTAAGATATTTATTACTGTTTTGCATTCACGGTCTTGTTTTTGTGGGGCGTCCTCTCTGATGAGAGGATGGGTCTGCCTTTTGTATATGCTGGTGGCCCTTGCCAGTGCAGTCTTTCTCGGGTCTTAGTCCCTTGGGACTCGAGACCATATTTTACTGTCTCAGATTTGAGACTTCCCTTTTTGTCGCCTCCTACGACTCCACTGACTGTGACTTAAATGATGTTCTTTGTCCTTTTTTATAACCCTTACAGTACGGACCAGCTGTTCTATTGTTGCATGTATTCACATCAGCAGAAATGTGTTTACTCAATTGTTCCATAGCAACGGCTGTACGTGTCACATCTCGTTTCGTTACAATTCCTCTGTCGTTTTGTGTGGGCAGTACCTAGCAATGGCTGTCTTTCTGGCTCCATAGTTCTTGCTTTGAGCAAATACACCACAATATTTTTCATCACTGGTATATGAATTATGTTAATGTTGTATTGTGTTTGTGCAGTTTTTAGCCCAACAGTATGGGGTTTCAGCCAGCACTGTATGGAAATATATGTCATGATAACCTGTCATTGTTTCCATACAGAGTGCAGCTAAGTCAGCCATTGTTGAAAGATGGACTAGGGAGGCATTATGCTTTCTTGAGAGAGTATGGAGCACTACTGGAGGACAATTCAGCTGTCTTGAATGTCATGGTTCCCTGATGAAGTACACTTCCAACTGAAATAGTTTCATGAGAATGCAAAATGTATAATATTACAACTCATAGAATCCAAGGCTAACTGTTGCAACCCCCTACATCCAGAGAGAGTTTTAATATAACAAAGAAATTTACCATTTGAAAGTTTCATGCCCTTGTGTTCAGTAACAAAGAAGTTACACAAATCTCAGAGTTCTAGATGATAAAGAAACACCCTGTATTAGGAAATGTCATTTTAAGCCTATGTATATAAATATGTATACATGCCTTACAATTCAGTAATGAAAATGTGTAAATCACAACACCTGAGGATGACTCTATAAGAGTTGAAACATGTAATGGAACATAGGTTAATAAATTATAGTTGCTTTGAAGGTGGAATTTATATTATTAATTGTTTTTGGATTTAATTATTATGTGTTTATTTACAGGCAATGTCATAACTTTGAAGATGAATGCCTTGTGTGTGTTTGTTTTGCTGTTAATAATAGTGGTTGTGAAAGGACAACAAAGAGTTGCACCTGGTGTCCCTCCACAGCAGTATACGGGACAAGTAAGTTGTTGGTTATTTAAACCAGCTACATTGAGACTAGGTTTAATTTGTAAGATTTGAGGTTTTCACGGAGGTGACTATGAAGAATGCCATCTTCTGGGATGTGGCACCAATTATATCTTATGTGAACTGATGTTTTGTCAGAATGTATCACCTTCATCTTCAGGGCAGAAAAATCCATGAGCAAGGAACCAGCTTGAGCAGGTGGCTGCAGACTGAGTCACCAGTCGAAAAACACCCAGCTGTATAAAACCAGAAAGGGAAGGAGAGTGTGCTACATGGAAAATCAATAGAGAGGAGAGGGGAAGGGTCTGTGGAGATGGGCCAGCAGGTAGCAGGCAAGAGCCAGATTAGGATTGTGTTTGGGTGGGGGCTACCGTGCAGGCATTAACTCGATAGCCTTGGGGCTAAGCTGCCAGCTGTGCATTGACCTGCGTAGCCTTATAGATCTGGCATCATATTCAGGAAGTTTCTTGAGGGAGTAGATGATAGGCTTCCATGATTTGCTGAGACAAAAACCTACCTATTTGTTCATATTGTTGGGACGGAGCTTGATCACAGTGGCCTTCCTAATGAAATGATCCATGTATTGGGTCTTGGTAGTGAGGATAGAGGTATTGTGAAGTTGAATGTGGTTTCCCAAGTCAATGCTGTGTTCCAACATGGCTGACTTGTCTGGATGTTCAAGACAGAGGTGCTGCTGATGCTCCTTCAACTTCATGTCCACAGAATGGCCTGTCTGCCTAATGCAGTCCTTGCTGCACTCACAGGGGATTCTGTATACACCTGGTGTCCTTGGTCCCAGCTTATCTTTGTCTGGTTGGAGGAAACTAGATACTTTCTTGGGAAGCAGGCCCACTGATTTAATGTTACGCTGGGACAGCATTCTGCTGATTCGGTTGAATATAGTCCTGGCATGGCGTAGGAAGGCAACTGAGTCTGGATTATCGTCACGCTGACTGATATTCAGACGATGGTTGAGGATTGTGGATCTGCCAGTCATAATCATTCTGCCTGAAAACGTCCCTCAGGAACACCAACTCCATATGTAGGCTGTCTTGTTTGCATAGAGCTCTAGCCCTGCGCACCAGTGTGGAAAGTACAGCTTGCTTGTTGGATGGGTGGTGGCGGGACCCAGCATTAAGGTAGGGGTTGGTATGGGTAGGTTTACTGTACACTCTTCAGACCATTGGGTCTTCTGTAAATGTCTATGTCAAGGAAAGGGAGATGGCCCTCAGTTTCAGTCTCCATGGTGAACTAAATGCACTGGTGGATACTGTTTAGGTCAGATTTGAGGCTTTCATGGCGGTGACTATGAAGAAAGCAGTCTTCTGGGATTTGGGTGCCAAATCCCAGAAGACTGCTTTCTTCACTGTTTAGGTCGTTCAGGAAGTCCTTCAGCTTGTTGGATCCATGTGGCCAGATGGCGAAGGTGTCATCCACATAGCGAAACCAGTAGAGGTGCTTGTAGGGGGCCAAGTTCGGGTTCAGTTTGTTCGTATTTTCCATGAAATCTTATATTGTGGGCACTAGGATTTGTTGCAGTGGTTATACTGAGAGTAGAAAAACTTTGTAGTTTGATTGTTTTTGAAGTTTCAACATTTAATGAATATGAAGAAGCATTTTCTTTTGTGACAGACTGCAACTAGGAATTCTGCAAGTAGAGTGCCATTCAGAATGCGGCAGAGAAGAGAAAAGTATTCTTCTGCAAATATATTAGAGTTTATTTGTTATGTGAAAGATGGATGAAATTTAGCTTTTGTCTTACTCGAGGTAAGATTAAGTGATATGTATAAGAATATTTCAGGCTCAGGGTCAGCCTCAAGCAGTACCACAGCATCAAGTTCCTGTTCAGCATCAAGCTCCTGTTCAGCATCAAGTTCCTGTTCAGCATCAGGTTCCTGTTCAACATCAAGTTCCTGTACAACAAATTCAGCAGGTATAATGGAGAATGGATTTGAGATGTGCCTTCAGCCCTGCTGTAATATGGGTTCAGTAATTTATGTTTTACTACCAGAAAAACATGATTTTCATTAATGCAGCCAGGTTGAATGGACTGTAAGAAGGGACAATATGAATGCATTCTTCTAATTTTGCAATAGAGATTGATTGTGCAGCAACAGTATCTGGCATAGAGAATGTGAATATTGAGTGTTTTGTCCACAGTTTCACTAATTGACATGTGAGTTCTGTAAGGTAGAAAATTTCTTACTCTAAATATAGGTTATTCAGTGACTGAAATTCATTGAATAAGGAGAAATAATACATTGTTTATTATATTAGGCTTTGGTTTGGACCACAAAACAGTGTTGACTAAATATGACATTTGACCTAATGTGGAAATACTAAATCAAGATTATGCTGTATTGTGTCTCTAAATGATAAACTACCAAATGTACATGCTACTCTGCTTTTGAAGTGTGTCTCCAAGTTTTGACAGCAGGCTAGCACGAAATATGAATTTTCCACTGGTGAGAATTCTGCACTTTCAGGTTTTGCAAGTGGATTCTGAACTTGGGCCATTGGTTTGAATTGTTACCGTTAGAATTTAAATCTAACAACAGAACAGAAAGGAGACCAGGCTATAATGATAGAACTAATGACAATAGCAGTGAAAACTTAAAAATACCATTGCTGTAATGACCAGCAGTATCGATACTTCGAACCATAATTTAATGATTCCTTGCCCAGTTTGCATGTAATGTAGAAAGCAGAAAGTCTGGGTGAGGAAAGTAGCACTGTTGTTAGATGATTTCAACTCCAAATGTTAATGAATGCAGTTAGTTAGTCCGGGTATATTAGGAGCTGATTTTTTGTACGAATACAAACTCTCCATCGAATTAGCGTTAGGACACATGACGCGAATTACTCCAGGTGAAGGGACGGGAGTTCGCAAGTACGAACTTATCTACAATCGAGAATTAAATAAAAGAGATGAGGCGATAAGATTGAAAGGGGAGAGTCAAGGCGAGGTCGTGAAGGTAAAAACCATTACTTGCGATGGAAGGGTGTTATTGCAACCATCTCTAGTTCGGACGCCATCTTTGGGATTTAGGAAGAACAGGTGTTATGAATTCGCACGCGAGAAGGAGTTTATGGATGAACCTGGATGCAGTGATGAGGAAAAATATAAAGAGACGAACGTCGACGGTATAGAGAGAATGAAAGCGGAGATATTAAGTAACGGCAAGGAAGAAGAAGAAGAAGAAAGCTACGGCAATGCGCCGGTCAATAACGACGATAATGATAATTATGGTGATGAAGATTGCGATAATGATGATGAGGAAGACATGCATCCCCGTAGAAGATTAGAGGAGCCGCGTGAATTAAATGTTCAGAACACCGATGACGTTATCAGCGAAGCAGTGGAAACAGCCCACTTGCGGAGCGCCGAACAAAGAGAAGAAGTGAGAGCGATTCTTAGGAGGTACCAAAAATCCTTCTCCTCGACGCCTGGATTGTGCGTTAACTTCGAATATGGATTCGAATTAACTGACCATGCACCGTTTTCATATAGAGAACGTCCGATTCCGTATGCGATTAGAGATGCCGTCCGAGAGCAGATTAAGATGATGGTCAGACAAGGCATCATTGAACCCGCCACGTCACCGTACTCTAACCCTTTAGTAGTCGTCCCTAAAGCTAACAAAGTACCGCGAATTTGCCTGGACGCTCGGCGTTTAAACGCTGTAACTATTGCGGACTCCGAGAGGACACAACCGATTCAGGAATTACTACAGCAATTCGATGGAGTGCAGTTTCTATCAAGTTTAGATTTGACCGCCGCGTTCCTGCAGATATCTATGAGGCCTGCTTGCCGAAAGTACACCGCATTTTTATTCAACTCGCAACAATATCAATTCTGCAGGATGGCCTATGGTCTTAAGAATAGTGGGTGTGCTTTAATCAGAGCCATGAGGAGGATATTCGGACCCGAGACACATGGTTATTTATGCCAGTACATAGACGACCTATATATTCACTCTAATTCGTACGAGGAGCACCTGGAACATGTAGAATTTGTACTGAGAAGACTGTCAGAGAACGGGTTTACTATTAACCTGAATAAATGTAAATTCTTTCGGACATCAATTAAGTTTCTAGGGCACATCATTGGGAATAAGGGCGTATCGCCGGACCCCGATCGCGTAGCACCAATTTTGACTTATCCTGCACCGAAAAATCAGAAACAATTGCGGCAATTTTTGGGTACCTGCAACTTTCACCATCGATTTATTATAAATTACGCGGAATACACTGCCCCATTGGTTCCCTTACTAAAGAAAGGTGTACACTGGAAATGGACCCATGACCACGAGGAGGCTTTCTTGGAATTGAGGAATGCGTTTGCTGCAAGCATTCACCTGGCACATCCGCGAAACGATTTAACCTACGAGATATATACAGACGCTAGCTGTTACGCAATCTCAGGAATTTTGACTCAGACTGATGAGAAGGGTCAAGTCTCCATAATCACTACCGCGTCCCGGATATTGTCTTCACCCGAAAGGAGGTATACGACATGCGAACAGGAGCTTTTGGCTGTCGTGTTTGCGTTACAAAAATTTCGCATATATATCTGTGGCAGGAAGGTGAAACTATTTACGGACAACAAATCAGTGTCATTCATCGAGAAATGTGTTATAACATCCAGTCGCGTCGCGCGTTGGGCACTGATGATCCAAGAATACGATTTGACTTTAGTCCACATCGCGGGAACGAAGAACCATTTTGCGGATACTTTAAGCCGCAACCCAGCTGGTCTCACCCCCAAGCAGGTCAACGTCTTGAAACAGCCTCAGGGAATTGTGATCGCTCGCATTGATCTTGGCCTGGATGTGTCGATGCGAAAAGACATAAGAAACTTAGCCATTATTCAAGAAAGGGATCCTGATTTGCAGGAAATCCATAGATTGGTGAAAGAAGGATGCGAGAATTTGAAAGAACGATTCCTAATACACGAAAATTTATTATATACCGTAGATACGAGGAGCGGGACCCCATGGAAAGTAGTCGTACCTCGGGAGTTGGAAGAGAAACTGATAACTTATGTCCACTTAGCAAAAGGTCATGCAGGAACTGACAAGTGTGCAGAGAGTATAAATGCAATGTTCCACCTCAAGAACTTGGGACGCAAAACACGGAAATTATTAAGCCTTTGTGACGTCTGCCAAAAGGTGAAGTTCCCCAACTGGAAGTATGAGGTGGAGCGCAGACCGCACCTCCCGGAAAGAGAAGGACAGCTCGTCAGCGTGGATTTCTATGGACCGGTTCCGCAAGGGCGAGGGGGAGTCAGGTACCTGTTTGTGTGCCTGGATGTTTTCACTAAATTCATAAGACTGTACCCATTGAAATCGGCCACAACCAAGGCGTGCCTGTAGAGAATCATGGACGACTACATCCCTCACGTATTAAAACCGGAGACGATTTTATCGGACCACGGGACACAATACACGTCTAGGAAATGGAAAAATGGATTGAACGAACTCGGAATTAACGTTCGATTTACCCCTATCAGGAATCCTCAATCAAATCCTGTCGAGAGGTTTATGAGAGAAATTGGGAAGGCGTGTCGCATCTACTGCGAAGAGAACCATAAGAAATGGCCGGAACTAATTCCTCACCTCGAATCCTGGGTAAACGAGACAGTATCTGAGGCGACAGGCTTCACGCCACGCGAATTAATGTACGACGAGGATGCGCCACGATTATTCTCAGAATTACTACCCACCTCACCCGAGGAAGAAGCAGAGCCGCTAACGTCGGAACAAAAAGCAATCCAAGTATTCGCCCGATTGAAGAAACGCGCGGAGAAACGGGAGCAACGCAGGAAAAGAGGCCTACGCAAATGGAACCCGGTTGTAGGGGAGGAAGTTTTGGCCGAAGCGTGCCGCTTGTCAGATGCGAACCGAGGCATCACTCACAAATTTGCTCGCCCATATGAAGGACCCTTCCGTATAAGCCGGATAGTATCGCCCACTATATTTGATATTTCCGACGAAAAGGGGAGAATTAGAGGCATATTTATTAAGGGGGCTCTGAAGAAGTTCCGACGCTAAGGACCCACCGCTACATACATCCATTAATTTTGGGACGGAATAATGCGCCTATCCTCTAAACCCCCATTCCATACCTCTGACAAATTCACATGGCGTTGGATGATGAAGTCATAATAAGATAATAACTGTTAAGATAGGTATAAGGAATAAACATGATCTGTTGTTATAATGTTAAGAGTGGAGCGTCCCCATGAAGAATGGATGAGGATTGGAGGTATGAATGTATGAGGAAAAGGGGAAAGGTGAAATCCCCATAGTGCTTGTGGTTACTCATTTAATCGCAGTTTGGTAGCTCTAATAATATATGTTGAGAACATCAGTGATTTGAGATCAGTTCAGTATAGGGAAGCTAAGTTTATCATCAGATAAGGGAACCGAGTTCTATCCATATCCTAAAAGTGTATCGTCGGAAGAAGAAAATTACGGAAGATAATATTAAAATAGTATCGTCGAG